TACAACCAGCAATCGAGCAAGCAAGATAGTTCATGTCCACTATAAGAGCCTTCAAGAGAAATTTCCCCATGTCTATAAGCAGAAAATGATAGTTGCATATTAAAAAAATAAGAACTTAAATGATAATATTGTTCATAGTAAACTAAAAACAATCAGTACATAACAGATACTATACTTCTCGCCCATCGGGCGAGTTATTTTTTCTAATTTCAGATCAGAATAAGAACAGAAGAAAACCCAATATCAAGACCCTTAATCCTAATTTCTAAATAAAGTGTCTGCTCCACCCTAGGCCTGTACATTTGGGAGAATCAACCCTCCCTTCCCCGAAACCTAAATAATTCAGTGTAAAATATCTTTTGATTATAAAATCTTCCTAGCCCTCAACCTAACCGCCTGTGCCTGTGCTTTCGTAACATTGCTTAGCCTTCAACCTAACCCTAAATAATTCAGTGTAAATTATCTTTTGATTATAAAATCTTCATAGCCCTCAACCTAACCCTAAATGATTCAGTGTAAATTATCTTTTGATTATAAAATCTTCATAGCCCTCAACCAAACCCTACATAATTCAGTGTAAATTATCTTTTTGTTATAAAATGTTCCTAGCCCTCAACCTAACCCTAAATAATTCAGTGTAAAATATCTTTTGATTATAAAATCTTCCTAGCCCTCAACCTAGCCGCCTGTGCCTGTGCTTTCGTAACATTGCTTATCCCTCAATCTAACCCTGAATAATTCAGTGTAAATTATCTTTTTGTTATAAAATGTTCCTAGCCCTCAACCTAACCCTAAATAATTCAGTGTAAAATATCTTTTGATTATAAAATCTTCCTATCCCTCAACCTAACCCTAAATAATTCAGTGTAAATTATTTTTTGATTATAAAATGTTACTAGCCATCAACCTAACCCTAAATAATTCAGTGTAAAACATCTTTTGATTACAAAATCTTCATAGCCCTCAATCTAACCCTAAATAATTCAGTGTAAATTATCTTTTTGTTATAAAATGTTCCTAGCCCTCAACCTAACCCTAAATAATTCAGTGTAAAGTATCTTTTGATTATAAAATCTTCCTAGCCCTCAACCTAACCCTAAATAATTCAGTGTAAAATATCTTTTGATTATAAAATCTTCCTAGCCTCAACCTAACCCTTAATAATTCAGTGTAAAGTATATTTTGATAATAAAATCTTCTTAGCCCTCAACCTAACCATAAATAGTTCAGTGTAAATTATCTTTTTATTATAAAATGTTACTAGCCCTCAACCTAACCCTAAATAATTCAATTGAAATCATCTTCTGATTATAAAATGTTCCTAGCACTAAATAATTCAGTGTAAATTATCTTTTGATTATAAAATGTTCCTAGCCCTCAACTTAACCCTAAATAATTCAGTGTAAAATATCTTTTGATTATAAAATCTTCCTAGCCCTCAACCTAACCCTAAATAATTAAGTGTAAATTATCTTTTGATTATAAATTGTTACTAGTCCTCAACCTAACCCTAAATAATTCAGAGTATATTATCTTTTGATTATAAAATGTTACTAGCCCTCAACCTAACCCTAAATAATTCACTGTAAAGTATCTTTTGATTATAAAATGTTACTAGCCCTCAACCTAACCCTAAATAATTCAGTGTAAATTTTCTTTTGATTATAAAATGTTACTAGACCTCAACCTAACCCTAAAAAATCCAGTGTAAAGTATCTTTTGATTATAAAATGTTCCTAGCCCTCAACCTAACCCTAAATAATTCAGTGTATATTATCTTTTGATTATAAAATGTTACCAGCCCTCATCCTAAAGTAGTGTATGAGCTTATATATTGGTCGCACGGGAATTCCCCATTCCATTTCATTTCATGGGGAAAATGCGACCAATATATAAGCTCCCAAAAAAGACCTAAACTCCCTACATTTCATAAATTCTTACAGCAAAAGACATAAACATCCTACATTTCATAAATTCTTACACTAAAAAACATCCTACATTTCATAAATTCTTACACTAAAAAAAAGACCTAAACTCCCTATAAATTATTACACCCTAAACTCCCTTACATTTCATACACCAAAAAAACACCTTCAATCAATTTCCTACATTTCATCAAAAAAAACATATTACGATCCGATTCGTTATTCGTTTAACAAGAAAAAAGAGGATTAAATTATCATCTCACCGACTGTTTGTTCGAAATCCCAATTGCATGATGGTGGTAGAATTACTTTCGAAATAAATTCGTTATCGAATTGGTTGCTTCTTTCCGATGCTTATTTCAGATGTGATTTCAAAATTAAAGATGGAACTCAGAATCAAGTACCACAAACTAATACAACATTAGAAAAACAATTTCTTTTCATCTTTATTTAGCGAGATGGTTTTGGAAGCTGGTTCAAATCCAATAGAAACAATTAAACACCCTGGGGAATTCGACACAATGTTGAAAACAGTTTTATATCCTACAGATTTCAATTCAGTCTCAGGTTGGATACCCTATGTTGGCGATGGAAGTGTTTTAAAAGAACCGGTTAGAAATCTTGCAAATGATGCTGATTTAGCTAGAGTGAGAGTTGTTGCTCGAAACACGATAGAAAGAGTAGCACGAGCAGCTAATCATAGATTCGAGAAACGAGTATTTCAGTACAAAATGTTGTTGAGAATAATAGGTGGGGTAATTACGTAAATTGAAAATTATGTCCTTTATTCGGTCTGTTGGAACATAGAAAAGTTTCCATAGGGTTACCATATAAAATTCATCTACAAAGAGAAATCAACGATGATAAGATATTCTTTGGAGAGAATGCTTCAGATGCAAAATTAGAAATAACAAATCTCCAACTTTTCATACCCGTAATAACACCATCAATTGAAGTAGAAACGAGAATATTCAACTCTTTAACTAAAGATATTGAAATAGCTTTTCTTCATCGTAATACGGTAGGTAGCATGACTTTACCTGAAGAATCCACCACCTGGCCAATCACTAACACTATTAAACCAGCAAGATATTTAATGGTTGGTTTCAAGAACTTAGATTCTCAAACGAATAACAATAATGTCTTCAGACTGGCAATGAACCAAACTCAAGATCCTTTAATCCATAAAGTTCAAGTAAGATTAAACAACGATAATTATCCTAACCAACCTTTAACAATTAACCCAACCACAAAGGATTATAATGAATTGTATAGAAACTATAAAAACGTATGAATTATTTGGAAATCCACCTCAGTTTGAATATGTAAATTTTGCACTTAATCATCCAATCTTCTGTTTTGATCTATCAGCTCATCAAGAAGATCTTTTCAAAACAGGAGTCAACATAAATATTCATATTGAAAAAACACAAGGAAATGTAACCTGTTATTGTTTACTACTCGAAGAAGCAAAACATTTAATTAAAAAAACACCCTTAAAATGAAACCAGAAACTTTAGTTATGAAAATAATAGATGCTGTTAAAACAGATTCCCCAACTGCAATAACTTTCAACAGTAAAAAAATCAGTATAACTAAAAATCTTATTGATAAATACAAATATTGTATAGTAGGAGACGATATAGACTTAGAAAGAATTGATACAAATGTAAAAAAAGGTGGATTTATATTATCCCTACCTTTAATATTTGCTGGTATTACCGCAGTGGCTACAGTGGCTGGTGCTACAGCTGGTGAAGTAAGCGTTGCCAACGATAAGAAAGCAGCTGCAGTAACAGCAGCCGAAAAACATACACACAATTTAGCATTGGAAAAGTTGGCAGAGGGTAAAAAACCTAAAACGGAAAAGAAAGGTTCAGGAGTGGGAGATATGAAACCAAGAAAAATGTTAAACAAGGATTAGTAGATAGTATTGACACAGGAGAAATCAAAGTCAAACATAAGGGTAATGGAATATTTTTAAAAAATATACACACTGGAGAAGGAATATATCTGGAGTGATTTTTGGAACAAATTAAAATAATAAAAAATGGGCAAAAAATTTAATCATTCATAAATATTTCCTAATAACCCAATGCTCATGTGTATATGCGGTAGTTCCGGTTCTGGGAAAACTCATCTCACTTTTAACATGTTGACAACACCAAACCTTTTAGATTTCGACTCTTTGTATATCTACACAACAACACCAGAGCAATCGTATTATCAATTTCTCAAAGCTTTAGAATATTTACCAAAGAAAGATGTTCAAGACCTATTTCAATATTACGAAGAAAACGAAGAAGAAATGGAAATAAAAGATATCATAGATAACTACATCGAAGGAAAGAAACCAACGGATATAATATAATGTTGTTTGACGATTGTGTAGCGCAAAGAAATCAAGCTGTTCAACAAGAATTCTTCACGAAGGAAAGACATCACAACCAATCCTAATCTTTTTACGGGATGGATTCTATGTTTATTAGAAAAAATGCAAATTGTTTTTTATTATTTGAATTAAACGATAAAGATTTATCTCAAATCATTCAGTCGATAAATCAAAGAATGGACAGATGCATTTAAAAAGGTTTGTAAAGCTCAATGGAAAAACCCAGATGAACATGGATATATATTCGTTAATACTAGAAAACCTGCAGGTGAAAGAGTTATGACAGACATTTGTTAAATTTTATTTTTTAAAAATGGATAATTGGAATAATATTTTAAAAAGAAATAAAGAATATATCAAAGCTAAGAATAAAATAAAGACCCAAGTTGAAAATAACAGATTACAACAACTCGGATTAACGGAAAATCTACAAACTCTATTTCAACCCATATTAAAATCTCAAAAGGATATTAAAAGGAATTTGGAAACCCACACCTCATCACCCCAAACCGATTGAATATGGTGGTATTAAGACATTAGATGATATATAACGTCTTTTTTCAAACCCTAACCCAGATTTACCAAAGAGCATTTCACCAATCATTGATGAAGTGGGGTTATTGTTTAATGGTTTTAGAATAAGATTTAGTGGAAATTCACCACAATTCAAAATCGACACAAAAGACTTTATATTTACATTAACAAAAGGGTTAATAGATTTAATGAATGGCGGGGATGTTGAAATTGCCGATTACAAAGATTTAGTATCATACTCAAAATTTCTACATGCGATCAGAAAGTCAGGACCCGAAACAAGAAGATTGAAAGAAGTTGATTTATATATAACAAAAGTTATTGAGGAAGAGGATGTAGATGATTATGCAGAAGATTATCCAATCATACAAGAAATAGACGAATTCGATTATATTGTGTCATCTGGACAAGGTATGACGTTTTTATCCGATAACAACGAAGAATTGCTTAATAGATTACGAGTAATATTAGCGGCAATGAAGGAAGGACATCGATCACACAGAAAATATAATGAAGTAAATTGTATATTAAAAAGACTCCTAGAAAAAGGTATCATAGATAAAAATGATTATAAAAGCATGATTAAAAATGTCAAATAAAGAACAACTATTCGTCATCACCTCAAATAAATCAGACATTAAATTGTCTCTAGATTATGAGTACGAACTCGATCGCAATCAAGAATATGAATTGGGATTTAAGTATTTCTCTATTTACAATTCCATTCAAAATATCAACGAAAAAAATAATCAAATAAAAATATCAACGAAAAAAATAATCAAATAAAAATATCAACGAAAAAAATAACATTCAAAACCATACGTTTACTACCAGGAAACTACGAATACATAGCCATTAACGAATATCTATCTGAATATGGAGGAAGTGTCAATGGTAAAAACAATATTGAATTCGAAGGTAATCTGAATCTGAACAAAATAAAATTGATATTAAGAAATAATAGTCAAGTTGATTTCAATGTAGAAAATTCATTGAATACGTTACTAGGATATGATAAATGAGTATACACCCAATCCACTTTAGCACCACACAAAGCTAATATCGATATCGATGTGATAAATATACATTGCAATTTGATAAACGGTGGATTTTTCAATAAATACAAACGTCAGATTATTTACAGTCTTCCAACATTCACTGTACCGATAGGATATAGAATTATAGATAAACCATTTCAAACGACGTATTTACCACTTAATTCCTTTATGAGTAAAGATATAAATCTGGAAATCAGAGATTGTTATTCAACCTCATTTAAAACAAAAAAATTAACACTCTTCATTCTCTTCTTGAATAGTAAGATAATCGTAATCATCAAATTCGTAGTTTTCATCCATGTTCAATTCTTTTCCGTCGTTGTAAGGATACTTGATCCTTCACTGTTTGGTGCTTTTCTCTTAACGAGATTTAGATAACTTCTAAAAACTTTCTTTTGTTTATCATCATCCTTTGGAATAACTACTCCATTGGTGAAACTTTTTACCCATGGTTTCTTAAATTCATTCGTTACATCGTGACCATTAGCTAATCGAATATAATCGTCTACAGTTATCTTATCTTTAGAGTAACCCTTAAACGTTTTTATTTCTTTTAGAACACCATCGGAAGTTAGAATGATATTGTATTTAATTTTTGGCGCTAAATATAAACCAAATATAATTCCACCATCACCATAATCATTCTTTCCTTTACAATAATCATTTTCGAACACCAACCCAGCTTCATTTAATTTATCCTAATTGCTAGACGAAATGTATAAACTATCGGTATCCGTATAGTATATTTCAGGCTTATAAAATCCATCTATCACGCGAATAAAATTATTCATTACTTTTTTACTGTGAGATAAAACGAATGATCCCAAATGACTAGGTGTTAGCCGTGTAGATTTTGGAGGTGTACAGTCAAATTCTTTTTCTTCGTCATTAATTTCAACTTTATATTGACTATCATTTACTTTTTCATAGTTTATAACGTGTGAATTGAAGTTGCCTTTTAAAGTCACTTCACTCCATAGATGTCTCGATGTAGTTATATCCTTCTGAATAGATTTACCATACAATGAATTGCCTAATAATTTCATGCAATTACTACCTATGATATTACCTTCTCGTTTATATTTATTTCTTAGATCTCTCAAAATTAAAATATAATCTCTATAGGGTGGAGTTTTAAAATTTTCTTCGTAAACTATACCATCTAATATTTTAATAATTCGTCCACCGGCTTTCACTATTTCTTGAATATCGACCGATGTTAAAACGTCGTGACAGAAACCATCTCTGAACCTGATTTTAGTGCCAGTTTCCTTTTTACCTATTCTATTCGTGAAAGTGATTTTATCTTTAGCAGGTATGGGTTGGAAGAACATGTTAATAGGATATTCAAACCAGACTTTTGAAATAGCAGTTCTAGGTCTGAATTTCTGCTCATTAAAGAGCTTAACAAATTCTTTATTTTCTTCTTGTCGAAATGGTCTACCACTTTCCGCTCTCGTATATTCGCTGTCTAAATACAACATGGCGGAAGCGTACAAACCGTTAGCATCAAAGGCCATTAGGTTAGAATAGTTCAGCTCTTTGAGTTTAGCGTGAACTTCCGTTTTATCTTTTGGGTTAGCACTATATTCTTTAAATAAATCAATTATATTATCACTTGGTGTTTCTGTGTATTCCTTTAATATATTACAAATTTCATCCATTTTATTCGTTTCTAGTAAACTAGATGATTCATGTTGATAGGAACATATGAAATTAATATTTTGCAAATAATTAGAGTTACCCTTTATTTCTTTCTGTCTTTTTTCCATTTTTTCTGTAAATCTTCATCGGTGAATGAATTAGTTAAAGGTAGAGACAGAATTCCTCATTGTGTTAGTTTATTTACGTTTTTGATCATGATCCAGTTATCAAAACCGCTACCGTAATCAGCAATTAATGTTATTCTTTTTTTATCTATTTTTCCTAAACATTGTAACATTTGATCGATACAATCTGTACCTACAAATATTTCTACTATATTCATTAATTTATTATAAAATTCTTCTGGAATGGGATCTGTCGCCTTTAAATCTGGAAAGAGATTATTTATTCTGTCTAACATTTTTCTTAGTTTTTCTAAATTAATTAACGTGCGTTATTGCATTATCATTAACGTTCTCCATACGTTTTCATAGTAATTATCTTCTATTTCTGTAATGCCCAAGGTTTTGTTATTTCTTCTAATGAGACAGAAATGTGATTTATGTAAGTAAAATACCCAATCTAATTCCTCGGATACTTTCTTTGGTTAAAAATGTCTATGTTTGGGCTTATAAATTTGAAAATTAATTTTAAATTTCTTATTGAATTCACAGATTCTAGCAGTTGTCATCACTCCTTTTCTGTTTGATTTTGAAAAACTGTTGATGAAATCTTGAAATTATCTCGTGTAGTCTTCGTTTAAAATATGATTAACGCACTTTACAAAGCAGTATCCATCGCTTGGTATATAACAATTTATACCGCTACTTTATTAATTTATCTTTTTGAGTAGGGTAACACCACTACCATTTATTGATCTTTTTATTTCTTTGAAATTGTTGTTACGTAAAATCATTTTTCCTGTGAAATACCAATCAGAAGCATCCGATTTATTATCCACTGTTGCGAAGAAATTGTGAAAAGTTTTGGCATTAAAACCTACAAATTGCATGTATTGTTTGTGTCTTCCATCTTGAATTATCTCTCTATCTAATTCAATTTGCCCTTTAAATGTTAAAAATTCATCAGTGATAAGCTTAATAACATTGGAAAAAAGTTCATTTGATATGAATTTTTCATCGTCTAAAATTTCAATTTTATTCATATTTCTTAAGCTACTATTTTTAACTAGGAATTTTTAACTTTTATTGATGATATTTCTACATCAAATTTATCTAAAATTTCATTAAATTCTTCTAATTCTTCAATGGTTATGTTCTTATCTTCTCTCGATCTTTTGAAAAAAATGAATAATTTATTGAGATATGTATTTAAAATTTCTGTTTTCTTTTTATGATAAGCTTTCTTTTTTGATGTAAAACCTAAAGTAATAAATCCACAAGATGACGTCTGAACGGCAGTGAATGCAGCTAATACAGGTGGGACAATTATTGGAAGCATTAATTCACCGGTTACGGTTGTTGCCACCATTATCCCTACTGTTAGAACTGTACTTAATGTTTTGAAAACAGAATCGATTCTACTCCATGTTTTTCTGCATTTGTTGAATTGTTTTAGTTTTTCTTTTAGTTCGTTTTGTTTGTCTATCATATATTGTTGTCTACTTTCGAGTTCCATTTTTTAGGTAATAAAATTAAATGAATTTCTGATAAACCAAAAGATGGAAAGTGTTTAAGATCTACGATAGGTTTCCGAATAAGTTGTGCATTCTTTTTTTTTCATTATCTGTTATAATTATTTCAGGTTTAATAATATAAACTTGTACAGTTACTAAGGATATTTGTTCTTTCGAATCATTAATCTTATTTAGATGAACTGAAAATTTTGGTTTTCGTTATAGATTCTTATCGTAAATCTAACTTCTATTCCATCATTACGTTCAATTATTGATGAAAATATGATAAAATTTTCAGCTTCTTGACTTTTATGAATATCGATTGAGGTAAAAAAATTAGCTGTAGAGATAATTCCGTCTCGATGTATAAAACTATTATTAGCAAAATATAGTTTTACGTATTCAAAGTCTGTTGCTCGTAAAAACTGATAACTTATTGGCCTTCCTTCTACTTTTTTTGTTTCTGGATTTCTAATAATACTTACTGATGGTGGACTTTCCGTTTCCAATATCATATCAAAATCTCTCAATCCAAGTTGATCTTCATTATCTGGTATGATTAACATTCTAAACCTATCTATATATTTTCCACTTGTTTTAATTTCATATAAGTGATTAACCTTGTTGTTTTCGTTGTTACTTTCATATTCTTTAATTTCTACATTGTCTCTACCATTGATAAACTGAAGAACTTTACGAGCGTTAAATTGTTTAGAAGAAAATGAGATTTGTTTGAAGAATATTGAATCAACTTTTACCTGGATGGGAAAATTAATTTCAATTTGAAGTTTTCCATTGAAAACAAAATATGTTGGAAGTTTACCATCAAACATATCATGGGGAAAATCACTATTAGAAGATTTATATACTCTAATATTTGCTGTAAATCCATATTTTTTATATTCATTCTCTCTTGATCTATCAATATTATCAGTAATAGAAGCATTTTTTTTAATATTAGAAAGATCTTCATAACTCAAATTTCTAAATGGAAGATTGAAATAATATGATTCTTCCTTGAGATACTTTTTTTCTAATGAGACTATATTTTTTGCCTGTTTTAAAACTAGGTTATTAATAGTGGTTATCTGTTGTTGAATAACACGATCATCAATTTTTGTATTTGTTGTTGAATATAGGTTTTGATTTCGCTATCATCTATGTTTTGTATTTGTTGTTGAATATAGGTTTTGATTTCGCTATCATCTATGTTTTCTATCTGTTGTTTAATATTTCATAGTTCTTTTTGTAATTCACTGTTAAGTTTAGTTTCCAGAGCATTTAATTCCTGTTGAAACGTATCTTCATTTTCATCTGGAATGTTATTAGTTTGCTATTAGTTGTTGAATGTCTAATTTTTGTTTTGCAATCTTATCCTCTAATTTAGATATTAATGAAATTAAATTTTGTAACTCAGTTTTGTTCGCAACGTTGACCAATTCTTTTTGAATAAAACTTATTAAACCTTTTACCTCTTGTTGTAGTTTAGTATCATTAACAAAATTTTTATTATTTAGTTGACGTTTGAAGAATCTTTTCACATTACTTATTTTATCTTCTAAATGGTTTTTATTTACTTCAATTGAATTTATTTGTTCCCGTAAATATTTCTTGTGAACAGCGTCATTATCGTTTTCCGGAGACTTAAAATTAGTTACTTTGAAATTGTTCATATCTAAATCACCTTGAAGAGTGTCTCCGATTTGATCCACAAAGTAAGGTTTCGCTTTATTTATCCACGCTGTAGTGTTAGGTTTTTTAGTTTCTAAAGATAAAGAACCTAATCCAAACTTGTTCGCCATTTTTATTGAGTTAAATTTATTACAATTTCTTCGAATTGTTTTCCTAAACTCAACTGATATAAAACCCAAAGTGAAAGCTGTCCACAAAACTTTTGTCCCGGTAATTGAATTTGAAATGTTGAACATTTGATTGGTTGATTAGTCAATTGCACTATCTCTTCAGTGGGTTCTAATCCATAAGAATCAAAGAAATGTAAGTCATTTGAAGAGTCTTTGTACAAAGCAGAATGATGAACTCCTTTTTGATCGGAAGTATGTATATTTGTTATCGAGTAAAATTTACCTTTCTTATATTTCAAATCATTTATTTCATCCCTCATACAATAATAAAACGGTGATATATTTAACTCATTCACCCATCTCATAAGTTGAAAGTTTGTGGTTGTATCGTTTCCATATTTATCGAGAAAGATATTCATTTTTAAAAGTTTTTTTTTTTAAGTTCATTTTGATAAAACCTTCCTATGATTTGTTCTTTGTCTTGATCGATTAATTCATATGTTGGAGGTGATGTGGTGTTTACTTTATCAACGATGAATATTTCGTTTGTCCAGTATCCAACATAACCTTTTTCGAATTTGCTTTTATATTTGGAAATACGAACTCGATCTCCGACTTTAAATTTGGGTTTGATATTTAAATTCTTTATTTCATTTTCGTAGTTATGTTGCGCGTTCATTGACTTTATAATATTTGGATTACTCGAGGCTTGTGTTGGTGTGACACCTCTAGATGAATGAATTTTGTAATTGTATTCATCTACAACCTCTGGTAATATTTTAAGCCATTTTTTTTTTCAATTTCAATTCCATGAACTTTTTGAATAATTTATTTTTTAGAGTTCTATTATATCTCTCAATAACTACAGCTTTACCTTCGTTATGCGTGCTGTAAATTTCAAATCCCAGAGATTTCATATTTTTGTTATAAAATTCACTTCCTTTATCTACCCACAGTTTTTCTGGATGTCGGTAAGATTGTTTCATAATCGTTTCAAATGTGTGTTTGACTGATAATCCTATTTTGTTTTTCAAAGGAATAACCCATACATATCTCGTATACAAATCTATAACTGTTAAGTAATATTTAAATCCTCTTTCGACTGGCATATGAATTAAATCGGCTGACCATATTTCATCTTTTTCAAACACTTTGACTTTTAAAAAGTTTTTAGTTTTTCTAAATTTTTTATGAATTTCATCTGCTAATCCCACGCCTAATTTCATCTTTGCTTTTAACAGTTTTATGATCAGAGCCCCTTGCATTCTCTCTTTGAAAGTTGGATTTGGAATATTTTCAAGTTCGATTATCATTTGTCTGTCTGCTTCGTGTCTGAAGTTTATGTCTTTATTTCTGTATAGTATGTCGTGTTTAAGCGCAGCGGCGTCAACTCTATTGACTGGTTCTTCCCCTGATTTGGGTTTATCGTTTTCGTCTAATCGCAGATCAAACCTAGTACCTGGACCAGTGTAATTATGACCGGGAAGATGTTTTTCTCCGGGATATTTCGCCCATGGAAATCCAGAAAGAGAACCCAATGATTTTTGTATATCTCCTGAACCGAAATAAGTTTTTGGAGCGTGAGCGACTATCATTTTTATCCTATAACTTTAAAACCTTTTCCTTTCCTTTCTTCTAATCTCCTGTTTCGAAGTTCTCTTATTAGTTGTAATTCTTTCAATTCGTCAGATTGTTTCACTGCGTCGCTTATACTCTTTCCCACTTCCGCGATTGAGCCGACGGCTTTCGCTCCGGATGAAATGTGTGATTTGTTTTTTGAAACAAAGCTAGCTACTTTTGGAATTATTGTTTCACCTAGAGAGAATAATGAAGAAAAGATACCGTCGCCCGAATAATCTTCGAATCTGTGTTGTTTGTGTTTTAGAATTAAACTCATCCTATTTTTAAATCAGTTAATTTAACGAAGAAATTGTGTTTCCAAAAAAGAGTAATCTCCCTTTTTTCTAGAAGTTTCTAGACTAAAAATAACATTACTTAAAACGAGGCTATTAAAAATGTTATGTTATTTTTATATTAGGATATTTTTAATATTCTTTTTTTTGATGAAATGTAGGAAAATGATTGAAGGTGTTTTTGGTGTAATAATTTATAGGGAGTTTAGGTCTTTTTTTAGTGTAAGAATTTATGATATGTAGGATGTTTTTTAGTGTAAGAATTTATGAAATGTGGGGTGTTTTTTAGTGTAAGAATTTATGAAATGAGGATGTTTAGGTCTTTTGCTGTAAGAATTTATGAAATATACGCAGTTTAGGTCTTTTTTGGGAGCTTATATATTGGTTGCATTTTCCCCATGAAATGAAATGGAATGGGGAATTCCCATGCGACCTAAACCTAAATAATTCAGTGTAAATTATCTTTTGATTATAAAATGTTCCTAGCCCTAAACCTAACCCTAAATAATTCAGTTTAAATAATCTTTTAATTATAAAATGTGCCTAGCCCTCAACCTGACCCTAAATAATTCAGTGTAAAGTATCTTTTGATTATAAAATGTTCCTAGTCCTCAACATAACCCTAAATAGTTCAGTGTAAATTATCTTTTGATTATAAAATGTTACTAGCCCTCAACCTAACCCTAAATAATTCAGTGTAAAGTATCTTTTGATTATAAAATGTTCCTAGCCCTCAACCTAATCCTAAATAATTCAGTGTATATTATCTTTTGATTATAAAATGTTACCAGCCCTCAACCTAACCCCAAATAATTCAGTTTAAAGTATCTTTTGATTATAAAATGTTCCTAGCCCTCAACCTAACCCTAAATAATTCAGTGTAAAGTATCTTTTGATCATAAAATGTTACTAGTTCTCAACCTAATAATATAAATATTTCAGTGTAAAGTATCTTTTGATTATAAAATGTTCCTAGCCCTCAGCCTAACCATAAATAATTCAGTGTAAAGTATATTTTGATTATAAAATGTTACTAGTCCTCAACCTAACATCTTTTGATTATAAAATGTTCCTAGCCCTCAACTTAACCCTAAATAATTCAGTGTATAGTATCTGTTGATTATAAAATATTACTAGCCCTCAACCTAACCCTAAAAATTCAGTGTAAATTATCTTTTGATTATAAAATGTTACCAGCCCTCATCCTAACCCTAAATAATTCAGTGCAAAATATCTTTTGATTATAAAATGTTACTAGCCCTCAACCTAACCCTAAATAATTCAGTGTATAGTATCTTTTGATTATAAAATGTTACTAGCCCTCATCCAAACCCTAAATAATTCAGTGTAAATTATCTTTTGATTATAAAATGTTACTAGTCCTCAACAGAAGAAAACCCAAAATCAAGACCCTTAATCCTAATTTCTAAATAAAGTGTCTGCTCCACCCTAGGCCTGTACATTTGGGAGAATCAAACCCTCCCTTCTCCGAAATCTAATACTGTCCGTGCCAGGCCAGATCAGACAATTTATTTTGACATTGGTATATTTTATTTCATCTTATATATATTTTATTTTTTTTGTATATATTGTATATGTTAGGATTTTGACATTTGTTTCTCGTGCATATAACAAACTTTCTTCAACACAATTTGCATTAATCTTTTAATCTAACCAAGTAAATTTAATTGCCATTATTTATGTTTTTCTTTCGTGTAAATTATACTCCGAGATAATCCATCCATTTAAATTACTACAAGTATAGTATCTGTTATGTACTGATTGTTTTTAGTTTACTATGAACAATATTATCATTTAAGTTCTTATTTTTTGAATATGCAACTATCATTTTCTGCTTATAGACATGGGGGAATTTCTCTTGAAGGCTCTTATAGTGGGCATGATCCTCAACTGATCAAAGATATGACATGATTCACTCAATAATTTTTAGAAAATCAAAAACCTGTATTAACTGACTACTATATAAATCGCAAATTCAATCTCATTTCATAACCATTCCTCGACACTTGAAAAAGGATAATATTTCGAAAACCGGTTCGTGTCAATTGCGTAAGTTTTTGTTTTACTTGTTATAATTTTTCACATCATTGTTAGCGTTATTTATCACCTAAATATATATTTTTTTGCAATTTTCATCTTGCTTTATATATCCCCAAACCCAGTTTGACTTATTTGCATAATTTGATCCCAACATTTTCACGCTAGCATATACAGATTCCTCCTGTACATTCCTTTCTAACCCCAAGTTATTTTCATTATGCTCCCCAACTACAACAACCACTGGCAAGAAGCCAGAAATAGAAACACTAATCGTCAACCAAACCAATATCACGTACCCTACAACGGCCCTGTCTTCCATCGACCTCTACCACCTACCAATCGCCGACCACCAACCAACCCATCCAGCTATATCCCACCCCATCGCCGACCTACCTACAACACAGCCTAGCAATCAAGAGGTAACCATCGACCTGACCAACAACAGAAACGACTACCAGCCCACCGACGCCAACCAGTCCCCACTCATAAGGAGGAAGAACCCTTTGTGAAGGTGTTCTTCCAAGTTTTGCAGTGCCTCCATCATTTGGCAATCCTTACCCTTCAACAGCAAGGCCAACCAGCGTTTACCTTCAAACGCAAAGTCTCTGAGTTGGATAGTTTTATCCGTCCAGCAATGAAAACATCAGCTGTCGACGCGAATATTAGATCCCTCAATCGGACATGGCTCTGTAAGGTTACGCAGGTCCTGATCGACCATTACCAAACCACACTTCAAGAGAAGCTGACCACCATTCGTACCAAGTTTTTATCATCACCTGCCGTTGACCGCATCGTTTCTCATGCCCTGTCCTGGGCCCGTCGCTCCTATGGGAAACGTCTCACTCAAGCTGTAATCTCCAAATTCTACCAAACAATCAACGAAACAAAAACCAGAGTAACCATATCTCTACCAACTGAAATGGACACTACACCTGCACCATCTAGAGCCACCAAGCTGCCGAACCAAACCCCTAAACGAGCCCGAAGTTCACCTACTCCTAGTCTAGCAGACATAGGTAAACGCTC